GCGCTTTTAGGGTTCGATAGGGTCTATCACACGATGATCACATTTCTCACTCGACCAAGCAAACGAGCAATTGACTGAACAGTGCTCACCACGAACGTTCATGGTCTCATAAATGAAGTGTTCTCAGTACAAAAGGGGTGATAGCGGACGATGTGAAATGGGGGTCGAATGTTTGCAATGTTCAGCACAGCACACACCACAGTGAGAAATGTGGTCATCGTGTGATAGACCCCACCAAATCCTAAAGCGTTCCTTTTGGTTTCGTATTCAACCAAGCCTTCGTCGGTTTGCACATGGTGGCATAGCTCTGACTGAATTGTGGGTTGCATTGTCCAGTCTGTATGCAAACGAGCAGACAAGATCATCGTCGGTGCATGTTTTTGTTGAGCGTGGGACGATAGTTTCGTAGACCATAGATCCGTATGCAACCAGAACACACATGGATCTGGGCAAACAGGGGTCCCAACAAACGATTTCACTCTACTGTGCAAGGTACCATCCACATAGCAACATGACATCTTAAATTCATATTGTGGCATCTTAAATTGATATTCGGACATCTTACACTGAAAAAGGTATAGATTGATGGAAGTCAGAGTTTTCGAGACAGAAACAAGTTCATTTATGGTCCCAAATGCAAACTGTCAACAGGTTTTCTAAGTATGATAATCAACTGGAGTTTTGATAAAGATAATGTCAAGAAATTCTTCCTTCGATTTCTCATTTGTTGAATAACATCCCGGCCATCGTTCCTCTGTAGTTTCCCTTCAATATTGTTAAGGTGGAAGAAAATTCAAGGTAGTTAATGCAATCAGATTCCGCACACAAAATACTCGGTTTCCTCTAACGCTTCCTGGAACAGTTTGGCAACTTCAAAAGCCCGACTACACAACGCTTATGAACCTACTACTCGGAATTATATACATCTTGGCACGAGTAATACTAATCTTCCTGAATATGCACCCAAATCTCGGAGAGGAAAGCTCAAGAACACCCATAATCTCTGAGTGTATAGTGACATCATTGAAATGTGATGTCAAGATCTGAGACAACAAAACAAGGAGCACTGAATACTTGAACGTGTTCAGTTTGAAATGTTTTACTTTTTTTAAATTTATTTATTATCGTAGTATAAAAATCTATTGTGCCGTACACATGATTTCCGTATCTTCATTATTTCACTGAAACCACTTCATCACTTTATATTCGTGAATGTGGTTGACAGCTATGCAATCGTTTGTTCTACGCACACACACACACACACACACACACACGCAAATCGATCGATTTCAAAAGGATGCAACGGTTCGAAACGCATGATCTGTATTGCCCTGCCATCTCTAGATATGGGGTAGCGAAGTACTCACGATCGACGCGAGACGGCGACCTTTTGTGAGTAAAAAATAAACGGATAAGTATGATTTAAGTATGATCTACAGTTTTTATGATACTGAAAATCGTAGCCAGTTCACATAAACACACACACACACACAAAACAATAGAAGGTTAACAATGTTAACGAGACACCGTGATGGTAACTTTGACCGACACTAAATCCTTGGGAAACATAAATCGGCTTCGTGAATACTGAGCAGTTTCATGAAAGTTTTAGCACCAAAAACATCCGCAACGTCACTCCGAATTCAGTTTTGCAGTGAGCAACTGTTTTCCGTGCACAGCCAAATGCAAACTCCTATGTAAAATGCATTGGTACATGGGGGCCGATGGCTCAATGTGTGGGCTCCCCATTCATCATTTGATTAAATTTGATCCAGCTGAGAGAGATCCATTATAGCCGTTGGGTCGCGCAGTAGATCCGTCCTGTCCACTCATGCCGTGGGCAAGCCGATTCACCGAGGTTTTAGGCTTCAGCTGCCGTTCAGCTGGTTAAGTCCGGTTTTTTACTGGGATGTGTGCCCTGATTTTGAGAGCCACAGGGTTAGAAATAGAAGATGCCCCGGAGACATTACTCAGTGGCTCACATCTCACAGGTGTTAGTTATTCCTATCAGACACACCCTGCAGACCCCTAAATGGGCAAGGTTCGAGCACCGCAACCACCACCCAACTTTGGTGGTAGGCAGCTCTACTGTCGTCCGGTTCTATACCACGCCTGAGCTAGCGGGGCCTTATGTGGTTCGCCACTCCAAGTCCCGGGGCTTAGGTTGCCGGTTTTCTCCACTGAACTGCAGGCCCTAGTGACTATGGGGTTCGCCCATCACACTTAGGTGTGTATTAAAAAAAGGAAGGCTGGACAGTTATTTGCATTCTGTCGCAACTTGAACCGTGAACCTTCGGATTGGTTATCGGAAACCTCATGCGATAATTTATCAGGTTGTGAAGATATCCAACCGAGCCATAACACCCCCGCCCCAGAGGCTAGTGCTGGGATGAGTGAGGCGCAACGCCCGCAACAAGCTCGCAGAAATAGATAGTGCTATATTGTGTAAATGGAAAATGAGAAACGGTCTGATCAGTTGCCCGGTGGCCGAGTGGGTTGTGTTCTGCCTGTGAGGTCCCAGGTTCGATCCCCAGTTGGGTTCGAACTGCTAATGAGACCGAACCAAGTCGAAACAGCCTCCTAGTTTTTCAGTTCACGCCTCATTTGAACTAAACACGACAACATTATCTCTATGAATCAAATTGAATCGAATCCTCTTATACACTCACAAAAACCTAATCTTTGAGTGACATAATACGCAGGAAAAGATGATTTGGTTTATAGCTGAAGGACAGTAACCAATCAAACACCTCTTGATAGTGACCTCACTGACTGAATACAGGCATTAAACAAGCCAGCAGTAGCTTAACACGGACATGAGCACGATGAAATAGAAGAAATCCTAGGACAATTTGAGTCAAGGATTACCTGGCTAATGTAGTCTTTCCGCTGCCTGGTAATCCGCGAACAAGAACCAGATGGCGCGTATTCCATCTGTTCTCGGAAGCCGTTCGTAGTACGAAGGAAATGCGCAAAACTTCCCGAGACTGTTTGACCCTGGCCGGATTAGTGCCTCGATGCTTCTCACGGTCTGAATCGCCCGAGGAATCCGGATCCGCGGGATCGGCTATAGAAACACGAAAATCCCCCTAAAACAAGGTGAAGATGGGACAAGTATGATGATGGTGATGATGCTGAGGCTGATGCGGATTATGAATGAAGATCAGTTGTGGACAACAGACTATGCCTATATCGTACGGTAAGGCGCGCCGGGGGACGCGGGGAGGGGAGGTATTGCAAGCAGTGGATGTTCACGGGCAGCAAGCAAATGGAATGAGAGCCAGCGGAGCACGATCAGATTGAAATCAACTACACAGCTTGCTTGCACTGCCGTTCGAACCCGCAGAATCCTCGGACAGATATCATGTTAATATGACAGTTGTATCAACACGGGGGTAGAAAAGCTTTCTGGCTTTTGTGTGTGTGTGTGCGAGGCCATACAACACACTATCGATTGAGATTGCGTAATTCAGGTCCCGTAATGACATTATATATATTTTTGGGATATGATCAAGGTATTTGAAAGATGCAGTGTACATTAAGTACACCGGGACGCGGTAGTGACCAAATTATCATACCAGAAGATGTGTGTTCGAACCCCATCACCACCCCCGACTGACTTCCCCAATGTTTGTTGTATGACAGCATTTTGTATGGACCGCTTCCCCTTTCTGAAAACTATGCCATTATGTATTCAATAAAAGGAAGTAAAAATGAAAAAGAAAATTGGAAAGTCATCTAGCCTGGAGAGTATCATAAACGTGGAACGTTCTTTTGTACTGTCCATGCGAATCCACAGACCGCAAGAATGCCGTGTATGTGCGTGTGTGTGTGTGTGTAAGCACGTTTGTAATCTCACTCGTTTAAAGGTTATAAAATCCTCATACACCCCGTGACGGAGCTATTGCCTCCAGTTACATTTTTGTATCATCTCCGCTCCCACATGCAAGATCAGCATCATTTTTGAGAATCGAGAAGCTAACCAAATGCAAAGCAGAAATTACATCCAATTATCAACAGATTTGAATATGGGTGTGGTTTATTTTATCTTTTACTTCCACGAAAATATATTCAAAGTGACATTATTCGAGCCTTCCTTCAAAGATTATCCCGAGAAGTTGTGTGGAATTTTTGGGACACTATGGTCAATGTAGTCGGTACTGACCAGGATTTATTGGGGTTAAGTACACTAGGGGTGCGGTGGGAGATGCCGCGGTGAAAATAGTGTTTTTCTGATTTATTTTCCTTAACATAAAAGATAATTTGATGAAATTTCCGATTTCGGCTTGGCATTTAATTACCCTATCGATACGTAAAAATAGTGATGGTGATGATGATCGTGCACATGTGGGAGCGGAGATAACACACAAAAACAACTACCAGGATGTAATCAGTTCGTCGTGTGGAGTGTATCATACTGACATTTTAGACTCTCTGAAATCGGGGATCGAACAGGTGACAAAGAACAGTGGACAGCTATTCGATCTACCATCAAGGCCTGCAATGTTTGCGTCCCTGCTGGGACGTAAACCGCAAACACAGCGGTTGGTTGTGGGGCATGCAGGAGCTCCGAAACAATTGACNGTGGTTGAATGTCTACGCCATATCACGTTCTCCTACACAGTCGTCAGTACATCGTATTCACGTTCAGCGGGGTGTGATTGAGTGCTATTACGAGCGCCCGTTCGTCCGTCCACATACACACACACACACCTGTATTGCGTGATCGGTGTTTTGAAACACCTCATGTGATTGGTGCACGTAGATAATTCTAGCTGAGATTCGCCGCTCATTGCTGTTCTGGATTCGAAGTTTTGTCTCTGTCTAGTCCGTTCAAGTCTTGGTTGACTGACGTCCGGTCGATCACTCAATTTTGAACGGTTCTTCCCCGTACCTGTATCTCCTCCAGACACCCTTTGTATAGCCTGAAAGTTGACTGTACATGTGTATACTCCGTAATCCTCAGTATGGTCTGGGGTGGGTATCTAGGGTTGTGGCTGGTCACCCTTCCCTAGCACCTCGCGAGATGCTCCCATACGACCAAGCGTCTCGAATAGCCTCTGCTGAGGAAGTCCTACTCACTGCCTACCTGCCTGCCCCTGACTGAGGTATTTTCCAACCGAAGTGAGAGGACGAAAAGCCAACATCCGAGGTTATAACCGGGTTGGTGGACCACCGGTAGTTTACCTAGGGAAGTTGACAAAAAAACCGGATTTCAAACCAACCAAGGAGAGGCGTACGAACCACACTCACACCTTTCCCGTGTTGGCAACGGTCACCGGCTGAATTGGGCACTTTGGACGTTTGACCCGTCCGAAAGGCGTATGATCCGATGAACTAGAAACTGGTCTCCAATGGATTGTGGTTTCCACACACTGCCCCGCTGTCTTTCGGGTCGAGCTTTGGTTAGCCGAAGGCTCTGGTTGTCGATTCCCCAAGAGAATTCACCTGAGCAATCTAACAGTATTACGTCCATGCAAATCATGGAACGTTTCTTCTTTTATAAAGATTATTAATTATGATTTGGTTGGCGAAGTCTGGTGTCAGACGNAATATATATATATATATATATATATATATATAACACCATCCCATAAATAAAATGAATCCATAGTGGAAGAGGATCAACTATCGTGGTCGAATACCCAAGCGCAATTAATTACAATGTCAACAGTACTGCCTTATGGCTCTCTGAGAGATTCGGAAAGAGACAACTGGGACAGGAATAATGCAGATCGTAAACAATCCTGTCACCGTCCCCACCCCACCGCACCCAGCTCTGGTGATAGACAACAACTATATTGTCACTCGGATCAGCATCATTTGTATTCCCTGATGAACCACGACAGTTTCTGTAAGTTTAGTTTTTGGGTTTCCCGCAAAGGAATAATTTTGACAATTTCGATGGCAGATCACCAGAATGTGATCCGATTTGACACATCAAATAGCTCATTATGTGGTACTTCTCGGCTCCTCTGTAAGGGCGGCGCAGTGGTTTAGTCGCTGTCACCGGAGTGCTTTGGACCCTATGGTCCGAGGTTCGAGCCCCGCTGCCGCCACCCGACCTTGGTGGTAGGCAGCTCTACTGTCGTCCGGTTCAATACCACGCCTGACCTATCGGGACCTTATGTGGTTCGCCACTCCAAGTCCCGGGGCTTAGGTTACCGGTTACCATCACTGAACAATAGGGGCTTTGCCTAGACTGCTGTTCATCACATCACCACACACCGGTGTGCAACAAAAAAGACTACGATGCCTGCCGCTTCTACTGCTCATCGAACAACATTGAGTAATGGAACAATTTGAACAACCCCGAACACTTTACTCCGCAGTGCTCTGTCTTGCACGTACTAATCCCGTCAACCACATTGGAGTGAGATGGGCCGAAAACCTCTGGTGAACGGGCCCAATAACATTTGCAACCGTTTTATTTGGTTG